CCCTCCGGCCACCCGCACAAAACCCGCCGCAGGTGGCCCTGTGCGACAGGTCGCGCAACCCGCAGGCGCGCGTCGTGGCCATGTTTGACATGACAGGCGGCTCGATGGCCAACATGGACGTAGCCGGCATGAAGACGATCCTGGGGCTGCTGTCGGTGCACTACGTGGAGCGCCTCTCCGCCTTCTACTTTTACAACCCGCCGCGCGTGTTCTGGGGGCTGTGGGGCGCGAGCAAGCACCTGCTGCCGGAGGTGGGGGGGCGGCGCGGCGGCTGGGGGGTCGCGGCCCGCGGCGGCGAGGTGGCAGGGGGTAGGTGTTTGGCGGGCAGCGGTGGCGCCAGGAACGCGGCTACAGCCGCAGCTGCGAGGGAAGGGGGTTATGGCCGTGAGATCTGAGCGCAGGAGGCCGTCTGGGAGAAGGGTGCTCGCGCAGTCTGGCTGCGCTCTGTGATTTGGGCCAACGCACCGCCAGGCAGGCCGCCCTCAGCCGCGCGCGCGCCCACACGTCGTCAGCGTCTCCTCACCATGCGACACCCGGTGACGTCACCTTGCCACCCCCCAGGTGACGCGCAACAAGATCAAGGTCATAGATCCGGCTGACCTGGCAGAGCTGCAGGCGGCGGTGCCCGAGGACGTGAGCGCCCGCCCTGCGCCCTCGCCCGCGCCGGCCCGCGATTACCTGCCCGTCCGCTCGGAGTTTGGAATGGGGGTGATGCATGCTTTGACAGTGTTCAGATGTGAAGGGGCGGTGTTGGAGATTTGCGAGCGCAGCCAAACCTCCGGGTCCTGTCGGCCATCCGTGACGTGGGCTTGTCCCACCTGCCGCCATGAAACAGCTGGCCCCGGTGGCCGCCTGGCGGGGACTGGCCGGCGCCGCCGGGTCTCTTTTCTCACAGTTCCTCCTCAACCCCCACCACGGCACCCACTCGCCCCAAACCCTTGGCCCCCCACTCTGCCCCAACCCTTGTCCCCCACTTGCCTCAAATTCTCCAACCCGCCCTCGTCCATTCTTGCTGCAGGTACTGCCGGTGGAGTATGGTGGCAAGGCCGAGCTGCGGCCAGTCGACGCGGCCATCCGCCACTTTGGCCTGCCCCCCCACGACGCGCCGGCTGGCGCGGCCGCCGACGCCGCCGCCGCCAAGCTGGCGGCCGTGAAGATCACCGGCGGCGGCAGCGAGGGCGGGGACAGCGCCGACGCGGCGCTCGTGGTGGTGGACGAGGTCGAAGCTGCGGGCGGGAAGGCGGGAGCAGTCGCAGCCGCGGTCGCGCCCGCGCCGGGGGCGGCCGCCGAGGCGGCGGCGGCGTGAGCTTGAAATGCGCGAGGGTGGCGGTGCGGAGGGATATTCGGGTGAGGGTGGCCACAGGCCTGTTTCAGCTCTGGTCTGGCCTGACAGCGTATGTGTCGCGCGGCAGTCCGGCGCGCCCCGCGATCGGGGTCGAGCATGTCATACTTAGTCATCAGTCACCAGTCGATTCGACGGCGGCCGCACCGGCCCTGCTTGCCGCACTCGGCACAACATGCACAGCCATGCGCCGCACCCGAATGTGATCTGGGGTGCATGAACGTGTTCAACGCGAGGGACCAAGCCGCGGCGTTGCCAGGCGCCAAGGCCTGCGGCCTGCACATGCGTGCTCACAACGCGCGTGCCCCACGAAACCGCTGATTACTGTCTCTGCACCGGACTGTGCGGGGACTCGTGTGCAGTGTCGTTGCTGGCAGACCATATTGAGTGGGCTGCGATGTGCCTCAGACTGCCTAAGACTCTGGGTGCTTTTACGTCATGGCCGGGTGCCTACTTGTGGTGCACCGGTCCAAACACAGCAAATTTCATGAGTGCATTTACTCTGGCTGTGCTGAACACGCACACCTCCAAAAGCAATGCGTGCGCTCTCCCTTCAAACCATCAGACACACCTCAAACGGAGTAAATTGAGCCTGCTGCGCCTGTATGTGGGTTATGTGCAGATGCCAGGGTGGCAGCCGCAGCCGCAGCGTGGCTGTGCTGGGCGGTGCCCAGCGCCTTCGCGCGCCAGCAAGGGCGCGTGTGATGGCCCGAACAGCCTGTTCGCTGCGCCGGCTGGCCCTAAGGCGGGGCAAGGCTTTTGGCCCGGCAGCCCCGGCTCGGCCACGCAGGCGTGCTGCGGGCAGCGCCAGCGGCCTCAGGTGTGGTGCCTGGTTCAGGCCTGGCCCAAGACCCGCTGATGTCACTATTGTGCAAGGCGTTGCCCACATGCCTTGCCCGCATGCACGCAACGCACGGGCTTGTGGCGGCGGCGGCAGTGTTTCGGCACGACGCGGCCCAAAGGTGTGGTGCAAATGTGCATAGAGAGAAACAGGGTGGGCAGGCAGCGGCTGCAGCGCTGCACCCGTGGCTGGCCGCGCTGGCGACGCAGCAAGATGGGTCCGATGCCGATGCTGAGCTGGCCGGCTGCAAATGCACAGTGATTGTGTGCGCTGGGCGTGTATGGGCGTGTGTGCATAATCGAGCTGCGTGTGTGGATGGTTTAGGGCTGCGGGCACATTCGAACGCGCAGCTGCGCTGTAACCGGCAGGCGCCGTAAGCCTACATATGGGAGCCAGACAGGGGTTAAGGGACCCACATGGCCTAGCTGGGCCCTTCCCATAGGGAGTGGAGGCCGAACAACAAGAATATGACGCCTCCGATGTACTGGGGAGGGGGCGGATGGGCGGATGGGGTGGGGGGCGAGTTTGAGGGGCCGGGTGTGCAGCTGAGGCTTCAAGGCTCATTGCCGGGGACGAGGCATAACGACGTTAAGCAGCAGCAGCAGCAGCAGCAGCAGCAGCAGCAGCAGCAGCAGCAGCAGCAGCAGCAGCAGCAGCAGCAGCAGCAGCAGCAGCAGCAGCAGCAGCAGCAGCAGCAGCAACAGCACCAGCAGCAGCAGCCCCCATTCGCCGCTCTCTCCCAGCCGAGCCCGCATTTGTTGCAAAGCACGTGCATATGCTCTTGGCGCCGCCGCTGGCCGGCCCACGCCGGGACCCGCAGAACCCAAGGCCAGCCCACCCACGACCCGCAACCCAGGGCCCCCCAAGCCCCCGACCAGTCAGCCCACCCCGACTGTCTTCTCGTTAATGTGGGTCGCCAGGTGGCGCCCGCCGAGCACCGCCGCCGCCGTGCACGCCGCGTGGCCGACGATGGAGCCGAGGGTGACGCCGACGACGTCCGAGGATGCGGCGAGGCCGATTGTCGCGATCTGGCTGCGGTCCCCCCACTCGGCCAAGAAGGTCAGCACGAACGCATTCAGGAAGATCTGGAGGGGGAGGGGCAGTCGAGGGCGGCGGACGTCGTTAATTGGATCTATCGCAAGTTTCGGGTGTCAGTATCAAGTCCAAGGCCAAAGATGGAAAGCTCCCCGGCAGGGCTGCCACGCGCCCTGTCGCAGAAAGCCAAGCCCGCCAGCGCCCCTAGCTCGGGGCCGTCGAGCAGGAGGGCCTGCGGCCCACGGCCCCCGCCCCCTGGCGCCCCCGAAACTCAACCCTGCCGCGCCCGGCCCCGGCCGGCCCGCCCGCGCCCACCGGCGACAGGAGGCACGACAGCGCGCGCCCCGCACGGCCGAGCCCCGCCTGCAGCGGGTTGGCCGGCCGGAAGCCCCTCTCCGCGCCCTCGTCCTTGGTATACGACACCAGCTTGTCGCCGCTGCCCCCGCTGCCCTCCGCCAGCTCCTTCTCCACTTCTTCCAATTCCGACTCGCCCTGCTCACACACAGCAAAGGCGCGGCGGGCGCGTTCCGAGCGGCGACGGCGGACCGCGAGTGGGGAGCGCGGGCGCATGAGGCGCACGCGGGACGGGAGGACGGGCGCTGCACACAGCTGGATGCATGCTGCAAACTCAGGACTGCGCGTGCGGACTGTGATGGTCCAAGCTGCGCGCAGAGGCAGGTGGGGGCGATCAGGCATCTAGAACATCATGGCTGGGCGTTCGCTGCGGCTTGTTACATCGCTGTCCTGCCTGCGTGCCGGCCGCGCACCTCCTCGTGATGGTACGCGTCCCAAAGCGTCTTGAAGCCGAAGAAAAAGAAGAGCGCGGTGGCGGCATAGTGCGTGTAGACCTTGGGGATCTGCAGGGGCGTCGTCACAAAAGAGTGGCGTAGGCATTGGAGGTGGGCGCCAGCACGGGCGACCCGCGGCCCGTGCTGCCCGCGCGGTTCTCGGTGGCGTCGCTTGGACGCGTCCGGCTGCCCGCCGTGCCCTCGCCCCGCCTGCATCGGGCCGCCGACGGCCTGCACCGTGGCTGCGGGGCCGCCGCCGGGGTCTGCTGCTGCGGCCTGCTGCTGTGTCCGCTGCTGCACCGCTGATTTGGGTGAGGTCGAGCGGGGTAGGCAGTTGGCACCGGCCACGGCCCTGTGGTCTGCAATACACACGCAGGTGCAAGCCACCGCTGCGCTCCGACGCATCTACCATGGCGCGTCCGTGTGCGCCCAGCCCCTCACCAGCGCCGGCGCCGCCCACCCCAGCGCCACTGCCAGCACCGTCATCACGGCCAAAGCCGCGAGGGCACCCGTGAACACCTGGGGCAGGACGCCCGCGGCGGCAGCAACATGCGCGTGAGCCGCGGATGGGGGCGCACTTCTGCAGATTTCGGACACCGAACATGCATGCACAACAGGCCATGGACACCCACATATGCTCACAAATGCGGAAAAGTCACAAGGAGGCACAATGTGTCACATAGCTGTATGAAGGGCTTGCAGATTGTGGGGAGCGCAGCAACGGACGCGGCATGCTCGTGCCGGAAAAGCTGTCAACGGGGCTCCAAACGCAGCCCTGTCCGGCCGCCGCGCCGCACCGTCAGCCGCGGGTGCCGCATGGCCATGATTGCTGCGATGAAGAAGGTCTTGTCGCCAATCTCCGACGCGCCGATGACGCCGATGCTCTTTCCAAGAGCCTCGACAAAGCGCCGGTCAAAGGCTAGCCGATGCGCCCCGCCCGCTGCGGCGGCGTTGGCGGCAGCCATCAGGCCTGCCGAAACGCCAGACCGCACCATAGGAGCTGGCCACAATGGCCCCACTGCCCCCTCGGGCTCCTGGCTTTGCCCAAGCGAGGCGCGGGGCTGAAGTGTGCTGGTAAATCGCCCTGCTCCTACGAAGTGATTTCAGGTTTCAATTAGCAGCTGCGAGCACGCACATCAGCTGCAGAGTAGATAGATCACGCTCAAAGCTTTGCGTGCTGATCGATGGAGGCCCGCTGTCCGGAAATGTGTCGAACTCGAATGCAAGCGTGTGGTTTGTCACATACACCATTGATCACGAGTGCTCAGACCTTGTGCCTGCAGACTGCGGTCGCTGCTCCATGACTGATGACCCCCACCCACGTGCTGCGGGGCCCCTGTGGGACGCTTTGGCGAAACGCCCAGGTGGCTGTGGGCACAGACACAACTGGTTGGCATGGTGTCTTACATAAGCTCACACGCATTGCGCAGCTTGGCACATTATGACAAGGGCTTGATATCCAGGCACCTCCCGTACAAGACCTCGCTGCGCAAAGCCCATTGGCACACAACTGCAGCCCTGTGCATGCAGCCAACTTCACAGGTCGCAAGGCTTCAGTGATGCATGGCTTAGATGGTTAAGTATGTTGCAAAGAAAGCCTTGTGAGTTGATGGCAAGCTGCCCGCTCACATGGGCCATCGCCTGGGTTGCACACCAGTCGCCGCGTGTCGCGGGATTAGTAGTATGACCAGGATGCTGAATCTGAGGCAGTAAGAACGCAAGTGTGCTGGTGGATGGGATGGTGGGTTGATTTTCTGGAGTTTTCCAGGAGTCGTCGTTTTCAACCACCTCTGGTCATCACTAGGCTGGCACATGTGGTCATCACTAGCCCGGCAGCACTTTCCAAGGGTTCACGCTGCGATCCAGACGAAGTGCGGATGTGTCCACCTTCCAGTGCTCCCTTTACACACGCCGCCCACAACGATGCAAGCAGTTGGCATCGTTGAGGGGGGAGGTTACGCGCCCCGGCATTGCCGGAGGGATGGATGGCACTGCAGAAATGATACAACACATGTGTCAGTGGTACAAAGCAGGCTGGGTGAACCATACAATTGTGACATGCTCGCACAGCACACCACCTGCCCCCAGCGGTTGGCCTTGCGCGGAGCCCGAAACATGCAACCAATCAAGGCGAGCGTGACATGCCGCGCCATTGAGTTGCAACCCACAGCTTGAAGCTGCTGGCTTTGCACGCTCACCCCACTCGGGTGAGCACCTCATCAGTGCAGTGGCTCTCAGAATCCCTTGCTTATACCCCCTGAAAAGGCCCCTCATGGGCGTCCTAGGACTTGGGCTTCAGCACGCGTTTTGAATGTCGCACGACCCACGCCGCTTTTTCACAGGGCTGGGAGCCCAGGGTCGGCACAGCTGCTATGCAGCTTCACGGCTGTTCGATCTGGAAGCGGACGCCCTCCACTGAGTACCTGATGCAGGGAACGAGGTGACGATTGTGAAAGCGGAGGCGCGTGCCGCAACACGAGGCAAGCGCATCTGCCCTGCCGGTCAAGCGCCATGCAGCCGCCCGAACGCGCTCTTGTGCCACAAACGGCAACGAGACAGGGCGGCGCGGAAAAACAACGGCGTCCCCTTGCAGCGCCTGCTCACTTGTGCGTGTTGTGGTCGACCACGTTTGTGTCAGCCAGCTCCAGGTTGTAGAAGTCCAGGAAATCCACGTCCTTGAAAAATGGGCCTGGCCCAGTGCAGTTGAGTGTGAGGCTGTTTGGCTGAGCAGGGGATGTGGGTGCTCGCTGGAGCGGCTCAAAGCAGCGCTGCCTGGGGCCAGGCGGCGGCACAGCACGGAAAGCGAAGCGGATGCGAGTGCCTCGCCCAGTGCTGTCCCCATGGTGCGGCGCCACTGCTCTTGACTCCACACAACCTTGCATCCCCCATTAAGCCCTCCAGCTTCCCTCATCCCGCACCCCCGAACAACCCGTCATGGAAGCTCGTGCGCCCCTCGCGGCCTCCCGATCGGCCCCGCTGCCTCTCGTCCGCCCAGCACTGGCAATCGCCGTCCCAGCCCACCCGCGTGCCACGTGCCGCTCTCCATCTTCACGAAGCAGCCGTGGGGGATCTCAAAGGTCGCCATGTCCTCCACCCTTGGGTGGCGCTGCAGGTCACCTGGCTGGCCGCCAGGGCGCGCCACCACCATGTACCAAGGGTGGTCCTGCAGCACGCCCAGACACTGGGTGCACTGGAGGGGCAGCGCGATGCGGAAGAGTGGGTGGTGAATAGGAGCGGCCGATGGGAATTAGGGGCGGATGCAGGGGTGCGTTGACAACAGATGCAACCGCGGTTGGACGTCGAGATTTTAATATGCGAGCATCCCTCCCGATTGCTATGCTACTGGAGGCGTCCCGAGGCCACACCTGTGAGTGGAAGGTGATGCGGTCAAAGGTGAGCGCCGGCTTGCGTGCGGGCAGGCGCATGATGTAGAACCTGGGGATGCCCTTGTCGAGCACCAGCTGCGCGTCCTCGCCATCAAACACCTTGCCGTCCTCCGTGGCGCAGATGAGCTGTGCGAGGGAGGGATCCGCGGCGAATGGGTTGTCAGGCGCGGCGGCCCCAGGGATGGCGCCCGGGGGTGGGAGGGTTGCGCCGGTCGCAGCCGCATGGGCGTGGGTCCACCGGCTGCGCAACAGGCAGTGTGCTGATCAGGCTGTGCGATGCACATGCCTGAGCACCGGAGAAGTGGGATGCGTTCAATCTGCGTGTGCCATATTGCAGGACCAGTAAGCCATGTGGTTGCAGAGCAGGACGGCCGTGCGTCGCGGCACCTCGCACGCTGCGCCGAGCGTCACCTGGCCAAACGGCGCAAACAGCTCGGGCGTTACGCGCTGCGCCTTGAGGACCACACACTTGACGTCCGCCTGAGCCACTGCGCGGACGGAAACAGCTGTTTGACGTCCTGCCTGGCTGCACCGAAGGGCACCACGGCGAGACAGAACGACCTGCATTGTGTCGTTAGGCTAGTGCAGTGTGTCGTTGAGGGTACCAATCAAAATTCAGGAATAGTGTGTGCCGTCTGCTTGGGCTGAACTGCCATCACGTGCTTCGGTGCAACGGAACTCTGGCTGTCGCAGCAGCTTGGGAGTTGAGAGTATTGTCACCAGTATATCCGTAGCAGCCACTTGTCGTTGTGAACGCACTACTGTATGCATCGCATATGAATGGTCACATCCCATTGACAACGTTGATTGCGTATGGCTCCGCTTTCTGCTTGAGTGATCTGGCGCGAAGTGGCGATCATGCTGCCAGCAGTGCTCACGGTATCACCAGGTTTCAAAAGCCTTTGGTTATGGACGTGACACAGCTGACACAGCAGAAGCTCCACAAGGGAGGGGTTGTCGTGTCGACAGCAACGTCGTGCGGAAACTTCAGGTTGGATGTTTGCTTGTTCACTTGTACCGTATGTTCCCTCAACGGAGAGACTATGCATAGGCTGAACCTGCCGCCATAGACTTGTCAACATGCATGCCATGCTGGCAACTGGGCGCTGGCAGCTGCAGTGCCGTGCACGTTGACCCCTAAGACCAGCAGGTGCGCGACGCTCGTGACTTTGAAGTTGCGAGAAATAGAATTCAAAAGTGCCGGAAACTTATTGTCTTACGGAATACTGATATAGATGATGAATTGGTATGATGAAGGGAAACTTCGCACTCAAACATGCGGTCGTTCAGAGACGGCCCCACGGCCATCAAGGGCCTGTCTGGGCTTGCATGCGTGTCCCCCCACGCATGCCACCAGCTGCTGGGATCGCGGATTGCCATACGTAAGGGGGCGGCCATCCGTCTGGGACGCAGCAAGCAGGTGGACGTTCACTCCATGTGATGCACGGTCGGTACTGGCAGATTGCTTGCGTGTGCAGGCAATTCACTCCCTTGTTGCGAGCATGAGACTCGCACATCTCGTCACCCAGCCCGCTGCCACCCAGTCCAGTGTGTCTGCCGTGACGCAGGCTCAGCCGGATGTATCATCCACATCGCATCTACACATGGACACATTGCATTGCTGTGATGTGTTCATCATCTGCAGTAAATGCAGGGAAGGCAACTGGTCGACACACAGAGAAGGGCAGACAAACGAGCTCAGCTCGGCTACGCCAGCAGCTCAGCAACAGTCAGTTCGAAGCTGGTTCGAAGCACGCGCAGCAGCGCCGCACGAGGCGCAAATCCTGCTTGGGACACGATGAACGTGTCCTTATTAAGACACGCTAGATTAAAGTTGTGCCGTTTCGAAACAAATGTGAAGAACACCGCGAAATCCTGACAGGTTGATCTGGCGTTCACGATCTCCTGCAATTCTCTGCTCGGCCGACAGACGGCAGCATGCAGCAGCAACCAACATCACCACAGCAGCCTCAGAAAGGGCGGGGTGTCCTCGTGGACAAATACCTGATTCAGGCGATGTATCATTACTTTCCTGCCTACAAGGATAACCTGAAGCTGTGGTTCCAACAGATACAGGTGCGTGGTGCGGCTGCAGCATGACGCAAGACGCGCTCGCTCATGATGCGACTGCTGCATGGGACTCGCACTGCGGTACGTGCTGCAGATGTTGGCCCCGCTTTAATGAGACTGAATGCAAGGAGGCCTGGATTCAGTGCACACTGGACCACTGCAATCCACAACAACGTGCAGAATGTGTCGGACCAGCGGGAGCAGCTGCGCTTGTTGCTGCAGCAGGTGCCCATTGAGGTGTATAACCAGGCCAAGCTGCACCGTGAGGAATTCCACCTTCGCCACAAGCAGCAGCAGCAGCAGCAGCAAGCGCAGCAGCAGGCACAGCAGGCGCAGCAGCAACAGGGAGGACAGCAGCAGCCGGCACAGCAGCAGCAGCAGCAACAGCAGCCGCCGCACGTCCAGCAGCAGGCGTCAACGCAGCAGTTGCTGCAGCAACAGCAGCTGCAACTGCAGCAGCAGCACCAGCAGCAATTACAGCAGCAGTGGCAGGCACAGCAGCAGCAGCAACAGCAGCAGCAGCCGCAGCAGCCACAGCAGCCGCAGCAGCAACATCAGCAACCAGCACCACAGGCACAGCTTCAGCAGCACTTGCAACAGCAGTTTCAACAGCAGCAGCGATTGCAACAGCATGCACAGCAGCAGCAGCAGCAGCAGCAGCAGCAGCAGCAGCAGCAGCAGCAGCAGCAGCCGCAGCAGCAGCGGCCCTCGCCCCAACTGCAACCGCAGCAGCAGCAGCAGCAGCAGCAGCAGCAGCAGCAGCAGCCGCAGCCGCAGCAGCGGCCAGGCACATTGCCCATGGGCAGCATATCTGCCCCGTCGACGGCGACAGGTGCGGCCCCGCAGCCAATGGCACCTCTCCAACCGCAGCAGCAGCAGCCAGCAGCTGTGGCGGCGGCACGGTCCGTGTCGCCTGGGATTCAGACGGGCGTGGTGCAGGCGCAGCTACGGGCAATGTCGCCGCAGCATGCGCAGGCCTACCTACTGCAGCAGCAACAGCAGCAGCAGCAGCGCGCGCTCCTCGCCGCCGCCGCCGCCGCCAGCGGAACGCCGTCGCCGCGGCCGGGCTCCGCGCCTCCCGCAGCACAGGGGCCGGCCGCCGCCGCGGCCGCGCCGCAGCAGAGTGTGGCGCAGCAGGGCGCGGCGGCCAAGCGGCAGCGGATAGGGGATGAGGAGCTGTTCCTTGGTGGCGGGCGGGAGCACCTGGATGTCCTGCAGGGGGTGGGGCTGGACGCCAGGGACATGGGCGCGGGGCGGGAGCTGCGGACGGTCGCAGGGGCAGCACGGGTGAGCTGCCCACCCAGGCGGCCGCGCTTCCCAGAGTTTAGTTTGTGTGTGGGTGTGGAG